GGGCGGGGCGAACTCCCCCTCCGCCACTTACGCTTTTTTAATGTCAGCGTCCTTGGCGGTGCGGTTGAGCTCCAGCACCACGTAGTAATCCTGCCCCATGGCGGGGGGCGCCGGGCTATGGGCACCGCCGCGCTGGGGATTGTGGTCGTTGTAGTTCTCGCGCGCATCCCGCGTCCGGGCGCATACGTCACTTCCGGACTACACACCCCTCCCCTTTTCTTTGCTTCTCAAGGGCGTGTGTGGCCCTTCCTCCCCGTCCCCTTGTCCCCAGAATCTGAGGTGTGCGGGGGAGGGGCTTCAAGCTTAGGGAGAATAAAGGAGCCGCTGAGCACCCCCCAGCTCCTAGGGGCAGTGGCCCAGCTGACTCATTGCAGAGCCTCCCCTCCCCCCCTCCATGGGACACTGCACCCCAAGTCCCACAACAGCGCTGAACCCTGATCCTTCCCTCACACCTCCATCCACCCTGCTGGGTGGGGCCACCTTTTATCAGTTCTCCCCTTGCACAGCTTCAGCAGAGCAGAGCCCTCCACATGCCTGGTCCACTGGGGCAGGGAGTGAAAATCTGCTTTAGAGGGCATTCCTTGCAGCAGGGAGTAAAGCTGCATAGCACCAAACCCTAGTGTGCATTAATTCACCAACACAGCCTAGCTCATCACACACATTTGTGGTTCAGTGGGTGTGATGGTAACCTTATCAATGACAGGGAGGGAGGACAAAAGTCTTACAAGTGGATAGTGAACTAGATTGGATGGAGCCTTGTTGCAGTTTAACAAGCCAATCCACTATGGCATACACCATGTTAGTTATTTAAGAGTAAATGGTTACTTGTCTTCAAAGTACTTTATATACATTATCTCAGCCATTATAAATTCAGCTGGGTCTAGTGGATTTTATTAACAGATTTTAAGGAGTGAAAAGTAGGAAAAATTTTGTATGTAGGCTAAATTCTCATGACAATTTTGATTGTCCATAAGATAGTAGCATTTCACCCCTTTTTTATAGCTGAGGAAACCAAGACAGATATTCAGTGATTTGTTCAAGGCCACACAGTGAATCAGCTGAATTTGATTTCTGGAGTTCCTGAATCTTAGCCCACTGTTTGCTCTTGGATATCATGAGCTAGCACAGGAATTTACAGATACATGCACACAAATTGCGTAGATAGACCAGAGTCCACAGGATTGTACATATAGCTGAGAGAGGATTTCAAATAATGGCAGACTGCCTATAAGGGAAAAAAAAACATTTTCCCCATATATGAGCTATACAATTACTGATTTAAAAGTAACAGGTGGAATTTTAATGTGGTCTTCGCTGTAATGGTTTTAACTACAATTGGATATATTTTAATTGCCTAAGAACATATGTATTTCATTTAAGTGAAGATCAAACTGAAATCTCAAATTTCATCTAAGATCAAATCGTAGCTGCTCATTACATTTACAAAATAGTCATACTTGTTATTCATGATAGTCACAAGAAAGATTACGAAAAATTGAATATGGCATGGACAGAGTGGTTTTGCTTTGAAATTAGCAATTTTGAAAATGCACGAACTTTGAAAATGCACAAGAAGTTAACAAAAGTCAATCCCTTTATTTCAATCAATTCTGCAGTACAGTAACTTTTAGACGACTTCTCTCTCCAGCCTCCAAATCAGTCTTCTCTTCAAAATACCAAATTGCTCACTAAATGTGTAAATATATTGCATATACAAAAGATCTTACACTAACATCTTCTATAAGCTTCTTACTGGAAGAGACTTGTCTGAACTTTGGTTTTAATAAGCAGCAGATCAAGAATTCCATGTACAGTCTTGTTCTTAGATTTTTATCATAAGTGTTCGCCCAGCTTATATATACACACGTTTCGTATATACCGTACAATCACAGAAAGCTAGCATTACTTTTATTTCGAAGTGCTATGTAGCCGAGGTTCAAACCTAGCCAGACTTTAGCTTAGTTCTGAATTTATCTGTTTTCCATAACCCTCAAATGCTCAGAGGTCAGAAAGCTGGTATCTCCTCACCACCCCATCTCTGCAGCATGTATAAATCTGTTTCTCCCATGTAGCAACCTAGAAGGAAATGAAAATATTTAAAAATAAAATCACTTGCATGAACATCATCTTCGTCTGCCTTTGTAGTTTCTCCTGTGCAACCCTATATATATATGGCCAAAAACTTCCATCCTCTTAAATCCCTCCTTTAAACAAATCTCTCCCATGAGACATACAAATCACAATAACAGGCGACTGGAAAGATGAAAGATCAGCTGGGGCTGCTTGACAACTCATAATGGAAACAGAGCTATATTGGGCAGGGAACTCCCTCCAACCCTCATTGTTTGGATAGCCTTCTGGACAATAGGCCTCTCCGATCTTTGACTGGAACCGCTATGAGCTACTGCAATATACAGTGAATGTATCAATATCTGGCTTTTAACATCTCCCTTGACTGTTATGGCTTCAAAGTCATGTCAAACATTCTTGGAACGATAATTGTCCCTAGATGTCCAAAAAGGAAGATATCTCCATGTGTTAATTAGAAATCCTACCAGTATCACCATGGACAGAGTAGTTTGCTACTCACAAGAGCTCATGTACTTCCCCAAATGCTACATTGCAGTGGGCTCTGAACTGAGAAAAAGCCTGAAGAAAAATGGGAACATTTGAATGTTTTTATTTTATGAGATGGGAAAGGAAGAAATCAGCAACCTTTGAAAAAGTATTAGCTCTTAAACTAGCCATAGAACACTACAACTAGCTGAAAATGCAGCAGTTTCCCCTCAAGATTCACTGGAGGATGAGGGAAGAGGATACATTAGTAAGTCCTGTTGAACAGCACTATTGAGCATGTTTCTTGGTTTGCATGCATGTTTTTATTTCAGCTTTGCCATTATAAAGATGACTGTGTAATAGCACCTGGGGTCTACAGTGTGATAGCTAAGTGCTTTATAAATCAGTGAGCAACAACTTTTAGACACAAGGTCCTTGGGGTTTGAAATTGTTTCAAAGACGACTGATCAAACGCACTCCATTTACAGGACAGACTTTCTGTCAGATCTGAGGGTCTCTACTACGGGAAAAGGTTGAATTAAGATATGCAAGTTCAGCTATGTTAACTGCGTAGCTGAAGTTGAAGTACCTTAACTCGGCTTTTGGCACTGTCTACACTGCAGGAAGTCAAAGGAAAAAACACTCACCCTTTGACTTCCCTTACTCCTCTTGAAAACAGGACTACTAGCATCGAGCAGTACGCCCCTCTCAGTTCAAATGAGCTGTTTTAACTAGACCCACTAATTAAAACGCCAGAAGATTGACAACAGCAGCTTTGTTCTCCTCTGTAGTGTAGGCAGACCCTAAGAGAGAAGATGGATTTCTTTTGCTCGCACATCACCACCAATTACAAGTCTGCAGGCCAAATGCTGCACTCAGGTATGCTAGCCTACACTGCCTTCAAGGTGCTGTATTGTTACAACAGATGGCAAGGTATGGCATTGCAACTGGAACCTGTTACAAGACGACCTAAGCAGCAGCATCAGTACCATGGCTGTACGAAACGGGATGCTAATCCAGCACCCTCTCCAACAGCTGTGTTAGCTCAGTGGGGTTTATGGAAATAAAGGGCAGCAAAAACTCAGTTTCTGAAATCAGCTGATGTGATTCAGAATATGAACAGTGGGCAGCTCAGCTAAGTAAGGATTTCTGTAAAAATGGCACCACTTTTCTAAACAGAATTGCCCTTTAAAACAGACAGGCCTGAATGCAGAAGTAGAGGCTCCCAAGTTGTAATCAGAGCTCTCTGACAATGGACAAGTTACTTAACCCCCGCCTCAGTTTTCCCATTTGAGAGAGGCGAAATTACGCTACTGCTCCTTAGCCAGGTGACCAAAGGATTTGTTTTTGTAAAGAGTTAAATTATTCAAATACAAAAATTAATTTAAAAAATTGACTTTTCAGAAAGGTGACAGCTCTGTTGGTTGCCAAATCACCAGACAATGGCAGCCATGGCAGGGTGGCACCTTTATTTCCCCCTTGCTGTTACTCAGGTCAATGATAAGCAGACTTAGCCATTACCTTGTATACAGGGTCACAATCTGCTTCTGTGAGGTCAATTACGTGATCAAGATCTTGCTGAATAATAAAACAGGTTCCATCACCTAGGGGGAAAAAATCAAAATAGAGAAGGAATACAGAACTGCTTGCAAGATCCGACATTCCCATAACTACAAACAGATGCAGGTGGGCGTATATAGGAATGGTTTTGTATTCGAGCCTTTGAATAGGGGTTGTGGGGTGCCAGTTTGGCCAAACAGACTCTCGGAAGGTTGGGATATCTCATGGAAGAGTCAGTGGTATTGGAAGGGTACCGGGAACTGATGACAGAGGAATATGAAATATTAGGAAGTTAATGAAACACTGATTAATACTATCCCTATTATGTCACTTGTCATCTACTTGCTGGGGACATGTTCTCTAAAGGTGTGTCTACTCTTGAGCTAGAAGATGTAATTTCCAGCTCGAGCAGACATGCCCATGCTAGCTCTAAATGTAGCCACAGGAAGTGGAAGGAGATGCTAAGTACATACTCAAGTTGGCTAGTCCCATCCACCCATTTGCACCACTGCAGCTACTCTAGTAAGCTAGTGCAGGTATATCTGCTCAAGCTGGAAATTACACCTGCAGGTCCAGTGTAGATGTACCCCAAAATGTTACTGGGACAACCAGCTATCAACTCGCACCACAACCAAGGAATTCAGAGAAAGCACAGATCCATGATTGCATGACATGTAGAGTGATCATATGGAGGGATGTGCACATAACCAAGAGGAGAGAGAAGAGCAACTCCAGCTAGTTGGAAGCCCCTCTCCAGCATCAGACTGAAAAAGGTCAGAAGGGGAAATAAAGACATGATCTAAAAGCTCTGGTCTTTGGTCAGAACACTCATTGCATCCTCTTAATTAGGGACGTAAAAGGTTAACCAGTAAACCTCACCATTAAAAGATGAGGCTTACCAGTTTCAGCTCCAACCCTATGGGGCATGCTGGGCAGCTTCTGTCTGTGGCAGTCTCACCCTGCCACAGAGGTTGTTCTAGCCAGCCAATCAGAACAGCCCTTGTCTGTAGCAGGCTCAGTCCCTACACCACAGATTATATGCTGGCTCTCTGGGAGCAGGGCCGGTAGGGGCTGCCAGTCCTTGTTTCATAAACTGCCTTTAACAGTTCTTCATTTCAGGTGACGGCAACAGAAACCAATGCTGAAAACTCAGCAAAGAAATGTGCAAAAGTGTCTTATAAAGATTCTGATTAAGATAACCATGTTGCAAAGTAAACACTGTTGCCTCAGTACAGGCAGTCCCCGGGTTATGTACAAGATAGGGACTGTAGGTTTGTTCTTAAGTTGAATCTGTATGTAAGTCGGAACCGGCGTCCAGATTCAGCCGCTGCTGAAACTGATCAGTTTCAACAGCAGCTGAATCTGGACGCCAGTTCTGACTTACATACAGATTCAACTTAAGAACCCCAGGCTCCGCGGCTTTGCTCTGCTTTGCTCCCCGTCCCCCTGGTCTGCAGACCAGGGGGACGGGGAGCAAAGCAGAGCAAAGCCGCGGAGCCTGGGGTTCTTAAGTTGAATCTGTATGTAAGTCGGAACCGGCGTCCAGATTCAGCCGCTGCTGAAACTGATCAGTTTCAACAGCAGCTGAATCTGGACGCCAGTTCTGACTTACATACAGATTCAACTTAAGAACCCCAGGCTCCGCGGCTTTGCTCTGCTTTGCTCCCCGTCCCCCTGGTCTGCAGACCAGGGGGACGGGGAGCAAAGCAGAGCAAAGCCGCGGAGCCTGGGGTTCTTAAGTTGAATCTGTATGTAAGTCGGAACCGGCGTCCAGATTCAGCCGCTGCTGAAACTGATCAGTTTCAACAGCAGCTGAATCTGGACGCCAGTTCTGACTTACATACAGATTCAACTTAAGAACCCCAGGCTCCGCGGCTTTGCTCTGCTTTGCTCCCCGTCCCCCTGGTCTGCAGACCAGGGGGACGGGGAGCAAAGCAGAGCAAAGCCGCGGAGCCTGGGGTTCTTAAGTTGAATCTGTATGTAAGTCGGAACCGGCGTCCAGATTCAGCCGCTGCTGAAACTGATCAGTTTCAACAGCAGCTGAATCTGGACGCCAGTTCTGACTTACATACAGATTCAACTTAAGAACCCCAGGCTCCGCGGCTTTGCTCTGCTTTGCTCCCCGTCCCCCTGGTCTGCAGACCAGGGGGACGGGGAGCAAAGCAGAGCAAAGCCGCGGAGCCTGGGGTTCTTAAGTTGAATCTGTATGTAAGTCGGAACCGGCGTCCAGATTCAGCCGCTGCTGAAACTGATCAGTTTCAACAGCAGCTGAATCTGGACGCCAGTTCTGACTTACATACAGATTCAACTTAAGAACCCCAGGCTCCGCGGCTTTGCTCTGCTTTGCTCCCCGTCCCCCTGGTCTGCAGACCAGGGGGACGGGGAGCAAAGCAGAGCAAAGCCGCGGAGCCTGGGGTTCTTAAGTTGAATCTGTATGTAAGTCGGAACCGGCGTCCAGATTCAGCCGCTGCTGAAACTGATCAGTTTCAACAGCAGCTGAATCTGGACGCCAGTTCTGACTTACATACAGATTCAACTTAAGAACCCCAGGCTCCGCGGCTTTGCTCTGCTTTGCTCCCCGTCCCCCTGGTCTGCAGACCAGGGGGACGGGGAGCAAAGCAGAGCAAAGCCGCGGAGCCTGGGGTTCTTAAGTTGAATCTGTATGTAAGTCGGAACCGGCGTCCAGATTCAGCCGCTGCTGAAACTGATCAGTTTCAACAGCAGCTGAATCTGGACGCCAGTTCTGACTTACATACAGATTCAACTTAAGAACAAACCTACAGTCCCTATCTTGTACGTAACCCGGGGACTGCCTGTATTACCTTGGCTGGCAATAAATCCATCTCTATAAGGGAGCAGACAAAGCACTGGTGCTCCTGATCTATGAATGATCTGAATCGGGGCCCTAAAAAGAAAGTGGTAAAAACAAGGTGAAAATATTATAATCAAGGACACTGTTGTATTAATTCAGATGGAATATATGAGCCAAAGGGGTTAAAATAACTCAATCACTATTTAACATTTACACCGCACTGCAAACTGCTTAGTACCAGGGCAAACACACAGTTTAACATCCTTTTAGCCTATTAACAATACTGCAAAAAAGGAAACACAATCAAAGCATCTGAAAGGCAAAGTATTACATAATGCTTCCATTTTGACAACATCCCTTAGACCCTTTCCCTTTAGCTGGAGAGTTTTGAGAAGAAAAATCCATTTGTGTTTGACAGTCTCTTAGCAGATATCAAAGCTGGCAGTAACTGTCCTTTGGGGTAAAAAGAGAAGTTAGCGGAGGTGGGTTGGAGCTGTTGAAATCTGATCCCATTTCATCCCACGTGATGTTTGCAGTGGATGGTGGTGATGTCATCTACAAAGTAAACACCGTTGCCCCAGTAACTCTAGTACTAGTCTCTTTGTCTGGGTCTGGTTGGGACATCTATCCGGGTTAGCACAACAACCCAGGGTCCCAGGAGATGGCAAAAGATGGCAACATGATGGTTAAGCTTGCTTCAGTGACCATGTCCTTCCACTTCCCCTCAAAATTTTCTTTGTTCAAGGACCCAAAAGGGGAGCAGAGAGTGGAACAGCTCTATCCCGCATTTTATCTACCAGTTAGGCCTAGTTTCCGACACACCAGTTTTGGCTCAATTTGCAAACCCACATTTTCTTGTTTACAAACCCTGATCTTAAGAGCTCTTGAGCTACATCAATAGGCTTTTTTGTTGGAGGAATTCCGTTTCTGTGTCTGGTTTTCTCGCACCTGTTTATAACATTCTTTATTAAAAATAACTTGACCTATGTTTCATGGTTAATTCCCAAGCAGGCAAAAAGTTATAGGCCCAATTGCCAGAACTCTGCCCATATGCAAACATAATAAAGAACAAGCAACAGAACAGAGCAAGAAGGTGATTAAAGATGCATCAGACAACCATTAAGGTCACATGAATTATGCAGAATGAGATTGGCAAGCTGATGATTAGCCACCATGACAAGGGCTAAAACTGGAAAGCTACAGAAGCATCCAGTCTGCTTAGCTCAATATTTTAATCTTTCAGTGGATAGCTCAAGGCAATGATCCCTCTAAAAGGCCATTCCAGACAATATAAAGGGATCTAAATGCTAGTTTCTTTAGAGGCATGTACCAGAATTCCCTCCACACAGAATTTCAAAGAGATTATTATTAATCAAACAGATGGAAACGTGGAGATTATCCAACAACAGAAAAGGAATTGTTCAGACACGGAATGCTAAATTCTCTTGTTTCTTTATCCAAAGGTACCATCTTGACTGCTTCCCAACTGGAATGTGCATTTGGCACCAATCCAAACAATGTTAATCACAGTACTGTCCGTATGAGCTTGACTAAGTGCTTTCAGAAAAAGTAATCACTTGGCAGTGAGCAAATCAATTTAACAATACCAAATGGGAATGGAGGATCATATTGCAATGAGAATGCACCACTTACAAGGCATGTTATATCTAGCACCTAAAGAATTAAGCTCATTGTCAGAGGCAGTGGAGGATGGGATTTCCATCAAGTGGAAAGCATTTTAAACTATTGCTTATAAGACAGCTGATAAAATGATGTGGTAGGAAGAAGTGCTTCTGCTTTTAACTGTTTTACATTTAATGCCTATATTTTTGTGATTTTAAGTGTATATCAAGAATATCGAAAGCTTTGGATGAGTGCACACTCAGCAAAACCCAAAATCTACATAAAGCAAAACAAATTCCATTTTTCAGTATCTCAGCAGTTTGTATAAAATAAATCTGTATAGTAGTCTCAATCTAGGTCCTAGTGAAGGGAGTCTACAGCAAAACCACTGCATACACAATGATGGGTGAACTAGGGATATGTTACACGTTTAAATGGTTAACTGATGAGTTCATATCAGAGGCAGCAGCTCAGGGGGCGGGATAGGAGAACAGGCAGGAGCCGGTGCTCACAGGGAGCTAGCTTTTAAGCAGGATCCCCGCAAGCACCACCATCTGCCCCTCCACACTACTGCCATGGGGGGCAGGGAGGGCCAGTACATGCAGGGAGCCCTGCAGGAGGCATCATCCCAGGAAGTCTACACTACTGGAGCGTGTGCTGTTCCTGCTTTATAGTCACCAGAGCTGTCAATTTAGCTCCTTTCACCAGCTGAATTCACTGCTTTATACACTCTCTCCCCCGCCCAGGCTTGGCACTTACTTTGTATTTCTCACATCCAGCTGATATATATTTCCATCCTGTGTCCCTGCTAGGAGATAGATGCTTGAGAGGAATGTACAGCAATTGAATGCATCAGATCCAACAAAGAGAAACACCTGGGAATTAAAGAACATTTTAAATATCAGTTTATTCACAGGTAAGCTGAAAGACCAAATTTAGATTAAAATATGTGCAGGTGCTATTCATTTACTCCTCCATCCCACCTGATAGAAAGCTTCAGAATAAGAGTCAGAGAGCAGAAAAAGTGCTTGCCTTTTTATCCCTTGGAAAGCAGAGTTAAAAATTATAACTACTCAATTCATTAAGGGAGATGTGATCTCAGCTTTGTTCCATTAATGGAGTTATTATGAAGACGTCTGGCACAGCTATGCCCAACAACTTCTCCACGTCATTCCTGGTATATCGAGATTTTGGAACAAGCACACTCTGCCTCTCCCCCCTTCTTGAGACGATCACAGGCCCCACTACACCATCAGTGCACATTTGCCACTCTCATTCCAGCTTGGGTGGCTCTAAACCTGTCACACAAGTGAGAGAGAATCCCCAGCTCACACATAGTTAAGCCAGACCATGCACAATTGAAGAAAGACAGAAGGTACTGGTTGAGAGACAGCAGGTCTCCACCTGGTAAAGTGTCACAATCGCTCAATAAGCTACTCTAGTGAAGACATTTTGAGGAAGGCTGATGTTATTGTAAAAATGAAACACGGAATGTTGTTGCGGACAAGAGAAGAAGCCATCTCTTGGAGTGACCTCATAGAGATTCTACTGGAAGGCTGATTGAATACACTTTTCCAATTATTTTTTTTAAATAATGTAATCTTTCTATGAAGGGGTTGTTTTTAGGAAACGTAAGAGATGGATGAATATTAGCAAGATTACATTAGGCTGATTTTATACTGGGTTTTCCAAACTGAACAATGTTTAGAGAGTGTATTGAGGTTTCTCTATTTCTCAAGCCAATAAAGCATTTTTCTAATATTACAGCATACAAGACTAAAATCAAACATCACCATGCATTTGAAAGGGGAGGCCTTAAAATCCACAGGACAATGTGAGCACACTAAGAATTCCATGATACTTTTTGTAAATGTAGGACTTGGCTTGGCCAAAATTTCCCCTCCCTCCACTTTTATATTGTGTCAGTTATACCATACTGCTGAAGGATGTATTTCAATGGTGTTCTATGCATGACTTGCAAAGCATTCTGAGATCAGACACATGATAAAAAGAACATTTTGAACCTCTGCATTAAAATCCTGAACACAACATATGAAAGGGAGGAAATGCAAAGTTATAGCTCCTCCTGCAACTCTGCCCCTTTAGTGTTAAATTTATGCCTTAATTTACAGGTATAAGAGACAAGTTTTTTGAATTCTGTAGTTAAAAATTGCTAATTTCTACCAGCAGTTTTTGCATTTAATATCCTTTAGGAAAGGAAAGGATTACATAGTGTATGAAATTTGTTACATATCCTCATTTCAATGTATAATCACTGCACTGGTTTCAATACATCATACTTTGGATATGCACGCTCTACTATTTCACTGGCTCATAGCACATCTGTGTGTCATGAAGTAAGAAGAAAAAGCCTATTATAATATATCATTGCAAACAGACATTAAAGAAGTTCCAAATGCTTGTTAACATTTCATCTGATAGGACAAAAGGTAACAAGAGGTTTTGAAAGGACGAAAATGAACATGTCTCAGAAGACCCTTACCGGCTGCCTGCTCTGTAATCCTACACCTTGGAGCTTTTTGTCTTCCCGAGCCAACAGCAGGATTTTCCTTTCTGTCCCAATTTCACGTTCGCCTGTTAAAATTCCAATTGTTAACATCATCGGCAGTGATACAAGGAGCCTTAGCAAGAGAACTGGGGAAGATTATTCTCATGGTACCAAAATCTCTAACAGACACTTACAGGATGTGCCTCTTTCTAGATGTATATACAGAAGGTCCACTGAGGTAGAGACTAGTACTTGGTGTGGCTAAATGTCCGATGCCATTGGCGTGGGAAAGAATCATAGAATACTAGGACTGGAAAGTACACGAGAGGTCATCGAGTCCAGTCCCCTGCCCTCATAGCAGGACCAAATACAGTCTAGACCATCCCTGATAGACATTTATCTAACCTACTCTTGAATATCTCCAGAGATGGAAATTCCGCAACCTCCCTGGGCAATTTATTCCAGTGTTTGACTACCCTGACAGTTAGGAACTTTTTTCTAATGTCCAACCTAAATCTCCCTTGCTGCAGTTTAAGCCCATTGCTTCTTGTTCTATCCTCAGAGGCCAAGATGAACAAGTTTTCTCCCTCCTCCTTAAGACACCCTTTTAGATACCTGAAAACTACTATCATGTCCCTTCTCAATCTTCTCTTTTCTAAACTAAACAAACCTAATTCTTTCAGCCTTCCTTCATAGGTCATGTTCTCTAGACCTTTAATCATTCTTGTTGCTCTTCTCCGGACCCTCTCCAATTTCTCCACATCTTTCTTGAAATGCAGTGCCCAGACTTGACACAATACTCCAACTGAGGCCTAACCAGCACAGAGTAGAGCAGAAGAATGACTTCTCATGTCTTGCTCACAACACACCTGTTAATGCATCCCAGAATCATGTTTGCTTTTTTTGCAAAAGCATCACACTGCTGACTCATATTCAGCTTGTGGTCCACTATAACCCCTAGATCCCTTTCTGCCATACTCCTTCCTAGACAGTTGCTTCCCATTCTGTATGTGTGAAACTGCCTGTTCCTTCCTAAGTGGAGCACTTTGCACTTGTCTTTATTAAACTTCATCCTGTTTATTTCAGGCCATTTCTCCAATTTGTCCAGATCATTTTGAATTATGACCCTATCCTCCAGAGCAGTCGCAACCCCTCCCAGCTTGGTATCATCTGCAAACTTAATAAGTGTACTTTCTATGCCAATATCTAAATTGTTGAAGATATCGAAAAGAGCCGGTCCCAAAACAGACCCCCATGGAACCCCACTTGTTATACCTTTCCAGCAGAATTGTGAACCATTAATAAGTACTCTCTGAGTACGGTTATCCAGCCAGTTATGCACCCACCTCATAGTATCCCCATCTAAATTGTATTTGCCTAGTTTATTGATAAGAATATTGTGTGAGACCATATCAAATGCCTTATTAAAGTCGAGGTATACCACATCCACTGCTTCTCCCTTATCCACAAGACTTGTTATCCTATCAAAGAAAGCTATCAGATTGGTTTGACATGATTTGTTCTTTACAAATCCATGCTGGCTGTTCCCTATCAGCTTGCCACCTTCCAAGTGTTTACAGTTAATTACTTCCTTAATTACTCGCTCCATTATCTTCTCTGGCACAGACGTTAAACTAACTGGTCTGTAGTTTCCTGGGTTGTTCTTATTTCCCTTTTTATAGATGGGCACTATATTTGCCCTTTTCCAGTCTTCTGGAATCTCTCCTGTCTCCCATGATTTTCCAAAGATGATAGCTAGAGGCTCAGATACCTCCTCTATCAGCTCCTTGAGTATTCTAGGATGCATTTCATCAGGCCCTGGTGACTTGCAGGCATCTAACTTTTCTAGGTGATTTTTAACTTGTTCTTTTTCTCTTTTATCTTCTAAACCTACCCCCTTCGCACCAGCATTCACTATGTTGGCATTCCTTCAGATTTCTCGGTGAAGACTGAAACAAAGAAGTCATTAAGCATCTCTGCCATTTCCAAGTTTCCTATTACTGTTTCTCCCTCCTCACTGACCAGTGGGCCTACCCTGTCCTTGGTCTTCCTCTTGCTTCTAATATATTCATAAAAAGTCTTCTTGTTTCCCTTTATTCCCGTAGCTAGTTAGAGCTCATTTTGTGCCTTTGCCTTTCTAATCTTGTCCCTGCATTCCTGTGTTGTTTGCCTATATTCATCCTTTGTAATTTGTCCTACTTCCCATTTTTTAATAGGACTGCTTTTTTATTTTTAGATCATGCAAGATCTTGTGGTTAAGCCAAAGCGGTCTTTTGCCATATTTTATATCTTTCTGACGCAGCAGAATAGCTTGCTTTTGAGCCCTTAATAATGTCCCTTTGAAAAACTGCCAACTCTCCTCAGTTGTTTTTCCCCTCAGTCTTGATTCCAGGACTTTACCTATCAGCTCTCAGAGTTACCAAAATCCACTTTCCTGAAATCCACTGTCTCTATTTTGCTGTTCTCCCTTCTACCCTTCCTTAGAATAGTGAGAACTCTGTGATTTCATGATCACTTTCACCCAAGCTGCCTTCCACTTTCAAATTCTCAACCAGCTCCTCCCTATTTGTTAGGATCAAATCTAGAACAGCTTTCCCCCTGGTAGCTTTTTCAACCTTCTGGAATAAAAAGTTGTCTCCAATGCAGTCCAAGAATGTATTGGATAGTCTGTGCCCCGCTGTGTTATTTTCCCAGCGTATATCTGGATAGCTGAAGTCCCCCATCGCCACCAAATCTTGGGCTTTGGATGATATTGTTAGTTGTTTAAAAAAAGAAACACTCTTTTATCCAAGACAGGAAAGGCAAGGAGATTCATGTACCAGCAGACAAAATACGCACTTCCAAAGGCCCTAGT